AGGCAAAATAACAACATGGGACTGTTCTGGTGGGACCATACCACTGTGTTAGGCTCCTGCGGACAGATTATGTTTGAACGCTTTCCTGTGTAAACAAACCACACTGCTTTTCATGGCTGTTAAGAAACAAGGGACATTATTTATATAGTAAGATTGCTAGTTCTCTTTTGGGAGCAGGTTGGCATAGCTTTCATTGTCGAAGAAGCCAAGTAACAATTCCTTTTTGTCAATCTATGTCAGTTATAGATATCAGCTAGATTTATCCCTTGTGCTTTTACATCTTTCATCATGCAAGAAACAGCAGTTGTGTTTCTGTTATTCATGCATTCTGCTCCACCTTTACTAATATTATTTAAAACAATTCCCAATAAGAGAATACAAACTGAATATATAAAAATAGGATTTCATTGTTTATTTTCCTTTAGTGCTCTGAAAACACGTGCACCATAGATTGCACTATGTTGCTTAAAAAATTGTCTGTTGCCATGTAATGTGAAATTACACAGGCCTAACTTTGCCGGCATTATGTCCAGGCAACAAGGATTGTGCAATTCGATTGTGAATAATTGCACAATACATCCATAGAAATGATTTGTGAATGGTACTTTCACCTTGGCAGTATTATATCTTCCATTTGTGTAACATTGCACTACACAAGCATAGCTACTTAACAGGATTTCAGCCATGACGTTTTTGGAGAACAACACTGATTGGTGGGAAATTCAGGATAGAAAAAAGGAAGCATTTCTTCATAGAGGACATAATTAATGTTTGGAATTTGTTGTCCCTAGTTTAAATGGCAAGAGACATTCGGCTGAAATAATTCGATTTACCTTGACTTCTTTGTTGTTTCTATGGGTATATTAGATTTTATGTCCTTTGTAGCAAAGCCTGGTCAAACCTGTTCTTTGTTATGACGTTCTTTATAATGATAACAACAGTATTAATAATTAGTGATGAGACTTTTGAATTCTCCACTCTGAGAGTTTTCCTCCCTTGCAGATACCTTTGAACTCCCAGAATGGGAAGTTATGGTATTTGCAGTTGTACTGCAGCTAAAAACTGTGCTCACGACCTGGGGTTCAAATCCCAGGTAGCCGGCTCAAGGTTGACTCAGCCTTCCATCCTTCCGAGGTCGGTAAAATGAGTACCCAGCTTGCTGGGGGGGCAATGTGTAGCCTGTATAATTAAAAATTGTAAACTGCCCGGAGAGTGCTTGTAGCGCTATGGGGCGGTATA